AAAAAAAAAAAAACTTGACTAAAACACACACAAAAACTTATTTTTAAGATATGTCCTTCTCTAGGCAAAATTCAGAGGTCTCAGGGAGAAATCAGATTTTTCTCTGAAAAATTAAAGGGCAAACAGGGTAGAAGAAAATATTTGTAACTATATATGTCCAACAGATTACAAAATGAAGACACCTCAGTAGAAAAACAGGCAAAGGATATGAAGATAAGACGTCTCAGAAAAAGAAGTGACTAATAAATACATGAAATAAGACGTAATTTTAAAATAGAGCTTTTCACATGTTAGGCACTGTCGTAGCACTGTGATCCTTACAAATGTACACTGAAGGAACTATTATCATCCCTCTCTACCGATAAGGAAAGGGAGGCACAGAGAGCAAAAGTAAATTACCTGTATCAGTAAGTACTAAGCGGCAAAATGGGATTCCAACCAAGGGAGTCCACAGCTCCTAAGTGCTACACTAGCCAGCCTCTCAACCTCATTAGTAACTGTGAAAATGCAAACTAGAAAACCAAGATTTGTTCCACTGATCAAACTGGCAAAGCAAAACAAAGAAAGTTTTAAGACTGATAATATCAAGTACTGGTGCGTCTAAGGCATAGAACCTCTTTAAATACATAAAGTGGGGGGGTTAAAAAAACAAAAGGACTGATTTAAGCAGTCCCTCTTTGGCTTTTGTTATCCATTTTATACACCCTAAATTACAAAGAGTATTACATAAAGCAGACAGTTTTAAAAACCTTGTTAGCCACTTTGGGTCTACTGACAAATTATTTTTTGACACTCAAAATATCAGCTAACCAATTCAACTTTATTTTTGTATACTTCAAATCTGATCCAGTTTCTTGTTGTCCCTCAGCCTGGGGTCATGATCCCATTGCATACCCTTCTCCAAGGAATGAAGCTCCTCCAATCATCATCCCCAATCAATCTTCTCCCAGCCTGTGCTTGAATCTTCCCTACTGAAAATCACCAGTTTCTGCCATTCCCTTTTCCCACAAGTCAAAAGACTGTCTCCATCTCCCCTTTTTATTCTTTCTTTTTAAATAAATGTGATGGAGACAGTAGGTAAGTTGTAAATTATGGGGTTTTGTTTTGAGACCCAGGCTGGTCACCAGATCCTGGGCTCAAGCAATTTTCCCACCTGGCCTCCCAAAGTACTGGGATTACAGGCGTGAGCCACCATGCCCCACCCATCTCACCTTTCACTTTGTCCATTCTCTCTCATCACCTGGCTCCATCCAAAGCTATTAAAACTAAACCTGCTTTAAGCCAGAAGGTCTTAATTGAGGTGTAGGGATGGGCTTGAAGATTAATTCTCCTAAAAATTACATACAAAGCTTTTGAGTATGTGAGATGAAGGTCCACAGATCAATGTTCTACTAATTGACAAATCAAATAATTGCTTCTCAATATTCATCATGTTTGCCCTCTTCTCATTACACACAGTTGGCTACCACTGCTGACCTCTACCTTCTTGAAACTCTGAGCTTCCTTGGTTTATATAATCCTGGACGCCAGGTTTTCTGTCCACTTTTCTTCAAAGGGAAGGGGTAGAGTGGCAGTTTGTACATTTTTGAACACTGAAACTGAGGTGAAAACCACTAGAGAGTTGGCTCTACATATCTAGAATTCAGGCAAATCTTGGGGATCTTTAACACAGATCCAATTATTCACAAAAGGGTAGGAGGAGATGGATTCATCAGCATCACCTGGGAGTCTTTTTTTTCCCCCAAAACAAACACAACCTCCACTCCTCAGCATCTCCTCCTGAGAGTGACGGGATAAGCGACTATATATTCCCAAGTGTGGGGCAAGCGGGGTGCCAGGGAGATCACCTTGTCCACTAAGCCAATATTGAATCTCTTTTAAAAGTCTTTCCAGGAAGCAAATCAAGAACAAACAAAATGTGGTACATACATTCAGTGGATTATTTAGTATTTTTAAAAAAGAAAGGAAATTCTGACAGGTGCTACAACATGGATGAACCTTGAGGACACCATGCTAAGTGAAATAAGTCATTCACAAAAGAACAATATTGCATAATTTCACTTATATGGGTACCAGGACTAGTCACACACTTGCAGAGACAAGAAAAATGATGGTTGCCAGGGGCTGGGGCGATGGGAAGTTATTGCTTAAGGGGTACAGCCTTTCAGTTTGGAAAGAGGAAAAGTTTTGGAAATGGATGATGGTAAGCATTCCACAATGCGAAGGTACTGAACTGCACCCTTAAAAATGGTTAAAATGGGCCAAGCACAGTGGTTCACACCTGTAATCCCAGCACTTTGGGAGGCTGAGGCAGGTGGATCACCTGAGGTCAGGAGTTCGAGACCAGCCTGACCAAAAT